GACCTGCTGTACACAGGATTGCTACGAGTCACAGGTGACTCAAAGGCACATAACAACAACAACAATAAAGCAGCAGTAAAGAGAAATTTATCTAACTGCCACCCTACAGGGAGGAAAAAGGATTTAACAAACTTGGGGTGCTTGTTATTAGGTACCACTGACTTAACTCATAGCAACCCTATGTACTACAAAACAGAACCTTGCCCAACCCTGCTTTATTCTCCTAGTTCCGGCTGCAATTAAGCACACTGTTGCACCATGTCAATCAATCTTACTGAAAGGTTTTTTTGTTGTTAGTTTTTTTTTTACCCTCTACTTCTCCATGCATGGTATTTAGGAAAAATAGTTTCAGACACAGAAATGCAGAGCATTGTCCTCCAAGCAAGGAGAGAGGGGAAAAAAATTACAATCTCTAAGGCTATTTTAGGGAGCTCTGGTGGCCTGGGGTTAAGAAGCTACACTGCAATCTCGAAGGTTATCAAATCCACCAACTCTTCCAAGGAAGAAGGATAGGCAATCTCCCCTCATGTGATTAAATGCTACTGAAAACCCATTGGAGGGTCCGCTATGCGTTGGTTCCGACCCGATGGTACTTAACCACACATGGCTGTGTAATATCCTGCACAAAAGAATACATATTGGAACAAATAAATGAGGAAGGAGCGTATAAAAATGATTAGGGTATAGCAATGGAAATTCCAGTGCTGCACTCACACAGTAGCCAGTGAGCACAGGTGACCACTCAGCACTTGAAATAGGAGTTGGAAGACAAGGGAGATAAAGTCTTTAATTCTAATGCAATTAATTTAAAAACATAATCAATTCAGTTACTAGAAAATCTTTTAGGATGCTTGGAACAATCTAAATATGTGAATATAGTTTTGGAGCTGTAAAATGTTAGGAAATCTAAACAAAGAATATTTTCAATAGTTTTAATACCTGAATTGAGATGTGCTATAAGTTTACTATGCCTTAAGGTTTAAGAGATTATTAAAATATATTGCAAGGGGAAGAGATGGTGGCAGAAATAGCCTGGTGAGCTGTGGGAGCAGCAGACCACATGGAGGAGGGCCACCATGGCCTTCTATAGCCCTGTGTTTATTGATAACTGAACAGTTAAACAGTTGATGACTGGTCTTTGGTGCGGATTGAGGCTCAACATCAGAAGATCAAGGATTCCCAGGGAGGAATGGGTGAGTCCCACAGCTCCCAACCCCTGCTGCCAAGCCCACGCCACCGCCGCAGCTCCATGAGGCTCCCACCACCGGGCCCCAGGGATCCCCTCACCTGGGATGGATGGTAGGCACCACCCCCCTCCCCCCAGGCTGGTGCAGCAGAGCCACCACACCACCACAGAGTGGACTTGTTCTGGGGAGAATTCTTGGAGCAAGATGGTGGCGTTGGGAGATGAAACGGCAGGTTGGGGTTTCCTTGGGAAGGCCAGAGAGGAAGATCACCAATACAATGGATTGATGAGAGTCACTATGAGCTGTCTATGACTTGATGACACTTAACAGTGGCAGCATGTCCAAGACGACAGATATCCTAAATGCACCACATCTTTTGATCTGTTGACTGCCTCTGCCAAGAACTGTTTAGATGTGGGGGTGGGGGTGGGGTGTTCACCACTCTCAGGTTCCCTTCTCCTTTTATAAAGGGGGAAGGCAGTGACACCTATTTCAAATTACAGTATAACCACTTATTAGAGGGGGCGGGTAAAGGTGGTGGTGCTGGAATTGGGGACGCTGTCCCTGACCACATAGTCTTCAGTGAGGCACTGGGTCCTGACTTGGGGGGGAGGGGACTTTGGTGTGGAAGTGTGCCAGCCAGCCCCTAGGGTGTGGCACCCAGCCCTTGGGGGATGTCATCCAGCCCTTGGGGTGGGCTGTTTGGCCCTGGGGAAGTGCTGTTTGGCCCTTGGGGTGTAGGGCAAACCATTCTTGGCGCTTGGGGGTGAGCCGTTCTTAGCCCTCAGTGTGAACCAGCCCTCAGGGTAAACTCCTCAGCCCTCAGGTTGTGCCATGTGACCCCTAAGTAGAAAAAACTGCCTAGGGTGTACAGAGAATTTTATCTAGGCTACATTCCTTCACCCTCTCCCCCAGTACACTGTAAGTAACACCCCCAAAGCCCTTCTATTTGTAACTCACAAGTTTGCTCTTTCTGGGTTTGTTCCCTTTCCTATAGGTAACCTTAACACTGAGTTTTACTCCAGACCTGACCCTGAACCCAGTTCCAGAGACAAAAAGGAAATACAACTGCCAGCTAAGGAAGCAAAGGAGGATGGAGCCTCAGGGTTTAGTCAGCCATCCCCATTGGACGCACCTGGGAAAACACTTTGCAGTCCAGAGGGGAGTAAAAGTCAGGAAAATATCTTCTAACAGAACAAGAAGGCAAGCAGCTTCAACCCAAGACCACCAGTAAGGTGATAAAGTGTGCTCCTTTTCCCCCTTCACATCAATGCCACTGTTCAGCATGAAGAAGCCAGAGAGTCTATGCCCAATTCCCAAATGAGAAACCCATAAGTGAATAAAACAGTTTGTTTAATCACCATTGGACTATGCTTACCATTGCCCTGTATCATCTGGTCCCCACTGGATCCTTTTCATCTCCTTCACATGCTCCCCCCACCAACCAAATTGTGCAGCCTTGTAACTGCATCCTACAATTTTCATCCCTGCCCATCCTCACCCTTCTGCTCTCAACCCCCACCTCCTTGTATCCCCAACATGTTTTTCCCCAATAAAATTAAGAAAAAAAAATATACTGCAAGATATTTATCTGATAATATATACCATTTACATGTGTTTCTTTTTACTTTTATTTCATATTGTAAGTAGCAAATTTCAAATGATAAGCATGGCCCATGTAATCTTTCTAATGGACAGAGTCCTTTACTGTGAGGCCAATGGGCTAGAAAAGTTCAATAATAAAACTGATGAACGAGGATCCATTTTAGAGAGAAGCAAAAAGTATAACTAGTGGGGTGGGTATATAACAATGTAAAGTGTACACAAAATTGCTCTGGCAGAAGCAAGATGCCTACAAATAAATTCCATCATTGTTGGAACATATGATGGACACACACAGAAAGAAACATTCAAATAATAAAGGATGAAGACTAGAAGAGAAAAGGAAAGGAAGTAAGTTTTGTCTGAAGTTACTACTCTCTAGAGTTTCAAAATGGAATTTACTTAAATGGTTTAAAAAGAATATTAGCATTAAAACTACTAGTGTATTTATTAATCATTTATATTAATAATATAAAAAATTATAAAAAGAAAATCATAAGTAGTATATTTAAAAATTAAGGCAAAATAATAACTAAAAAATACAAAGTTGTGAATGATAGACCCAAGGAGGTAAAATTCATTACTAAATTACTAATCAATCTAATACTATTCACCCATTGAAAATAAAAATAACAAATATGTATTAACATGGAACAATGTTTAGACATTCCTCATAAATGAATAGTAGAAAACAGTGTACTCTATGATGATTAATGTAAAAAATGAAATTTAAAACGGAATTGTTAAAATGTAAAAATTCCACTGGAATGCGCCCATGTTACTCACAAACAATTTTGTCAAATTTGAAAATAAAAATGTATGTGATATTAGGAAAATGAAGAACAAACTAAATTTAGGAAAAAAAATTTTTAAAAGATCAGCAATTATCAATCTAAAACCATGAACATATAATAAAAAAGGAAAAGGCAGAAATAAAGTTACCTTCAAATGAAAAGATTTTTCACAGGATTTTCTAAAAATATAGTCTGAAACCATGTTCCTTTGATTTTATGAATTATAAACAAGCACACTTCTAGACATAAAATGTAAATCCAAGAGTAAATGTTCATCACAATTGTTTAGTAAAACAGTGTTATGTAAGTGACAGAGCATTTTTTCTTTAATAATTTATTTGCTTTATTTTTATAAAATATGATAGTATTTTTCTCTATAGATTATCCTATTATACATTTTCCAAAACTAACCCACTGGCACTGAGTTAAGTCTGACTAGTAGCAACTCTACATTAGGGTCTCCCAGATGTACATCTTTATGGGAAGAAATGGCCCATCTCACTCTCTCAGAGCAGCTATTAAGTTTCAATCACTGAACTTTCAGTTAGCAATGCAACATGGCAGGAGAGCTCCTTATAATAAGTTTTATGTGGCTCTTCACAATTTGAATAAAAAACATTCAGATTCTTTTTCTTCTAACTTCTCTGAAATAAAATGATGTGACTTTTTACAGAGTAATTACAGCTGAAATGGAAAAATTTTTCTCAGCTTATCAAGAGACCTTATTTATGACCTATTTATTTCGTATCTTCATATTTGAAATAAACATACATAAATTAAAACCACTAATGTTTCATGATTAGCAATGTTTAAGGAGTTGTGCTGCAAACCCAAAGGTCAGCAGTTCAGGATCCACCAGCTGATCTGAGAGAGAAAGATGGGTGATCTCCTCCCAAAAGGAGGAGCTATTGCAAACCCCCTGGAGGGTCAGCTGTATGTCAGTTGTGACTTGGGAACAATGGGTTTGAGCTGCTTTTTGCTTTTTTCCAAATATATCACTTTGCTACAGTACCACCTTATGTTCGTAATTATCATTTTAAGACTGTAGAATGAAGTCATGATAGCTTGAATACAGTACCTGTCGACTAATATTGGCAGGAGTGTACTGGTTAAGAATAGGCTGCAATCCTGTTTGATCAGCAGCTGTTCGATAATCCAACCGATATTCCATGAAAATAGTGATTGGAGTTAGCTTGTCCCTAAATTCAGATTCATCCTAGAGATAAAAAAAGCTTCCGATTAATGATGATATTATCTTAAACTATCTTGTGAAATACTTGGGTGCACAACACAAAGTCAGAAGTTACACTTGTTCCTTCAAATCTACCAAAATTCTTTGTTGTATGTCTCTTTTTAAGTGTGGTTTTTCTTCTTTCCATTTTTTTCTTGGTCAGTCTTTCAAAAAGATAATCTTCTTCATTCTATCTTTTAAAAATTCATTAATCTTGGTTCTTATTCTTTTTTTCCCCCTTCGAGTCTTTACTGCAGATTCTTTTCAAAACACTTAAGTTACATATTTCATTCCCTAACTGCAGTCTTTGTGCTTATTTTAAATCATGTAAGGCTGCACATTCACTTTCACATCCTGCTTCCTTGACATCCTACACACCAGGCCATATTGTATTTACTTCTGATTCCATTCCAAGTAAATCTCATAGTAATTAATTTTGGCTTAAGTTACTTAAGAGTTTTTCCTAATTGCCAATTTTTCTTTTTACTGATTTTCAAAATTGGATTGTGATTAAAGTATGTTCTCTATGATACCAGTTTTTGAAATGTTTATTGATTTCCTTTATGATACATGTAGCTTGTTGTTGACTACTGTCGAGTCAAGAACAACTCATAGCGACCCCATGAACAAAAGGCCTGAAGCCCTTCCACAACCATCGCCATTTATCAAAGTTCACAGAGTTTTCAGAGGTATATTGTTTAGGAAGTGGATGCCACTTCTGCTTCCAATTATGATACATAGGAGGTCAATTTTTACATTTTCTAATATGGTGGTTTGGTGCAGAGTTCTCCACTACATTAAGCATCCTTATTAAGTGTCTTCAAAATCTATATATTTTTAAAAAGTTTTTATCTTTTTAAAAAATTTCACCCTTTGGTGGTACAGTATGGTGAACAGTAGTAATGTCATTGAAAATGTATGTGTAAAAAATGCTGCAAAGGCAAATATTTTGTTATACAAATTTTTACCACTTTAAAAAAAATCCAGTGTATATTCTGGAACTGATAATTTTAACAGTTCTAGTCTTCTGCAGATTTATTAGCTATGTTCAGTGCATTTTTCTTTTCCATGAATTCATACTTGATTGAACTTATTCTGTAGAAATTCTGACTTTGTTGGAGGTGGTCCTCTCTCCTGAGAACTCTTAAATTTTACTCCATTGGCTGATTTAAATGCAGAATTTCAGGTTGAGACCTGGCTTGCAGATGGCCCCCCGTGAGTCTGCATCCCACTGCTAGTATCTTCCATTATTGCTTCTTCTCCACTTCCACCCCTCACCAGCACTCCTGGCTCACATGCTTGCAACCCACAATGGATTGTTGTTTGGACCCTAGAGAACTCCTTTACTTTCTAGGGAGTCCAGCAATACTTATGAAGTACATTTATCATAATTTATTCAGCACTACTGCTGGGGAAGATCATTTGCAATATCTGATCTGTCAAGAATGGAAATCCATTACTCCTTAGGTTTAACACTGGAAAAAAAGCCATGTTTTCTGAAGTGTATTTTTTTGTTTTTCCTTTTGGCTTAACACAAAACAATTTACAAAAAGAGAAAATAACTTAGGGGAAAGAGAAAACAATTAGACTGAAAAAACAAGATAAAAGAACAGAAAGTTAACTTGCCCGCAGATATGCGACTAGCTCCTCGCACTGCATCTGTCCTCCCCTTGAAATGGTCATGTTCTTGGAGTGTGCGGGGGACCTGTTATGGAGAAACAGTGCCCGCCGAATGGCTCCCTTTTGCTTGAGCTTATCCAAAAGGAGTTCCACCTGGAAAGCTATTCAAACAGAAGAATAGAAGATATAACCAACCTACCCTTTACAGATATTTATCTGACATGGATACCTAGACATTTTATGCAAATAAAAATATGTGTTCCTTAAAAAGTAGTTTGATTCTAAGTCATTAGCAACCATACACACACACACACACACACACACACACACATATATATATATATCTTGGGTCACCTTCACTATCTCAGTCATGCTCAGCCCATTACTGCAGTCACTGTGTCCTGAGGGTGTTCCTTTCTTTTGCTGAGCCTGTATTTCCCAGCAGGGTGTCTTTTTCCAAGGACTGGTCCCTCGTGAGTATATACACAAGGCATGTGAGACAAAGGTTTACTCTCCTTGCTTCTAAGAAGCACCCTGGTTGCACTTCCTTCCAAGGCAGATTTGTTTGTTCTTTTGGCCATTACAGATTAAATATATATTTTACACAGGTAGTAAAATTACTAACATACTCATTCTGAGTAAGTATCTGATCACTAATTTAAATCCTGCTATATTCAAAGTAAACTGCTCTGGTGGTGTAAGTGTGTAACATAATAGGCTCCCACACGAAAGATGACCTGTTTGAAGCTATCAGTTGCTTCTCAGGAGAAAGAGGAAGAGTGTCCTTTAACAAGGAGTTACAGTCACAGAATTTCGATGGAGAGTTGCCAAGAGCTGGAATCAAATCCGTGGCAGCCGGTTTGGGTTTTTATCTCCCAGGAACATCATATATTATTTTCATACAATAGGTTGTACTGATAGTAAACAATGACACTAATAACATGACTATTGTTGCTTCTGATGAAGAAATGTTTATTAACATGCATTCAAAGCATTGTATTAAACTCCATATGATTAATGGATAGTTTGCAACATCTGCAATTAATGTTTCCAATGAAGCAGTAAAGAAGTAGTAAATTGCCACAAGTCAATTCTAATTCATCAAAATGTCAGGTAATGTTGTCTCCCACAACGTAAGTGATCAAAACCACTTTAACAGGAATAACAGCAAACAGCTGTCACAGAATCAGTTCCAGCCCAGAGCCACCTTGACTGTGTCAGAGTAGAATTGTGTTCCATAGTCTTTCTTTGACTACATTTTGTAAAACTAACCTCAGGACTTTCTTCTGAGGGACCTCTGATATAATCAAATCCCCAACTTTTCATCCTCAGCAGGTGATCTCAGTTGGCCACTGAGGATGTTCACCTATCTATCTGCACCACCAGGGGCTACTTGTATATTGAAATGAACACGCAGCCAGCACACTGAAGCATACAGTTATCAGGACTACTACCTTCCATGAAGGCTTTCTTTAGGTGGTTTCTTCAAAGTAGATGAGCACAGACCTGTAAAACTACACTCTGATCCCGACTTCTCTGAATGATGAATTTTGCTTCAAATTCAGAAGGAAATTTTGGTTCTTATTTATTTCAACCCAGTTATACTGCCCTCACTATTGTTTTCCTAACAATTTCCGAAAGTTCCTTAAGCCTTTTGGAGTCATCATTTCCCTGTGTAAAATTTCCCAAGACATCTGCTGTTGTTGCTGATACATGCCACCGAGTCAACTGTCATACACAGGGTCCCTGTGAAACTAGACTGAAACCGTGCCCTATCCTGCATCCTCCTCCTAATTTCTGCCATGCTCAAGCCCACTGTTTGAATTCATCTCACTGAGAGTCTTCTCTCTTTTGAGAGAGAACTGAAAGTCTTTTTCCACACACTGGCCCTTCCTTACAACATGCTCAAAAATATGTGAGTTCAACTTTGGACTCCAGAAATCTGTTAGCACCTTCATTTCTTTTAGGTCTTTTTGAAGTACTATCTTCCAAAGAGGGAGCTCTGGTGGCCTAGTCAGTAGAGAGCTGTGCTGCGAACTCAAAGCCTGATGGTTTGAATCCACCAACCGCTCTGAGACAGAAAAATGGGTACACTCCTGCACTTTACAGCCTCTGAAAACCTGCTGGGGGTCAGCTACATGTTGATTCAGAATAAACAGCGCTGAGTGAGTTATCTTCCAATGAGACCCTGCCTCCTTGCCCTATGTAAACATTCATGCATAACACACACTCAAACTGTATTCTTCTTGTCCTATTATTTAATGTTCCTCAACACTTGTTACGATCAAACATATTGAAAATATTGGCAATAGTTAATGAATACCTCTACCCTGCTCAACCACTGGATACACACAGTGACTAGAACAATGGGCTCAAGTATGTCAGAAATGGGAAGGCTGGCACAGGACAGGACAGGGTTCAGATCAGAAAGGGTCACTGTGAGTCATACTTGACTCTATGGCACCTAATAACAGTAACAACCTTGCTCTCAGGGTCACACAAAACCATTTTAAGAAAGGAAGAACAGAGTCAAGAGTTGTTGGCTGACTTACATCTAACGGCCCTTTTTCTCCTAAAAGACCTACAACTACCCCACTGCTACTGAAAGTGCTAAGAGTGATCAGTAGGCAGTCAGAATACAAAGAACCCAGGAGGAGTCAAAAGGTAACTTCTCCCAGACATAAAACATAAATCAGCGGACCTTTACCTATAAGCAGTGAGACTTCTGTCATGAAGGTTAACGTATCTCACATTGGTAACTGCTTGCCTTTCTAAAGGTTAATCTCTCAGCAGGTCATTGTGTTTCCAGAGAGTCAAGAAATAAATACATTAGGCCTGACTTAGCAAAAGAGTTTCCAAATAAAGGAAGAAATTATGAAGCAATGAGGAATAACTTTATGCATAAACATTCAAATAAATTATACAATTTGAAGATCTATTTAAATATAAAAAATATTTTTTACATGCTGTGCTACAATACTATTAATAATATTGTTTTCCCGTTGCGCAACTTACTGAGCAGCCTGGGGAGTGCTCCTTTGCCATCCGCCTTTAAGCAGAACCTAACATTAAAACTGTACCAAAAAAAAAGGCATATATTAATTCTATAATCTAGTTTAGACTACAGTTTACATTATGAAGACTTAATATCTTAATACTGTGTGATTTTTAACTTATTTTGTTGTTGTTCAGAAATACACACCCAGGCAAAATACACACCAATTCAGTCATTTTTACATGGACAGACAGTTCGGTGACACTGATTATATTCTTCTAGCTTTGCAACCATTCCCTCTCCCTTCCTGGGTTGTTCCTCCCCTGTAGACACAAACTCATTCTCCTCTATGTTTCCCAAGGAACCTTTTACACTACTGTAACTTGATCTCATAGCAAGTTACAGTAAAGGAGCACAATGCTCATGGCAGCCGTTTTTGACTAGTTAAACTACTGTTTCATTTTAAGACGATGTCAGGAGACATTTGTGACTGAATGTTTAAAGACTATCTCAATACACTAGCGTTAGGGATTTACCCAGGCTTTGTTACTCCAGAAAGGCTGCTCTGCATTTTTTTGCTTTTGATCATGATTCCTATACAGAACTCCTAATCAGAATATTTAGTAATAATATGTTACTGGGTACCACACATTTTTTTTTAATTACATGGCAAAAATGACACATAAAACTATACATAGTTTTCATTAAAGATAAAATGATCTTTAACAGGGAGCAGATGTTTCCCTTTCTGGACCCTCTCTATCCTTCAATAAACTTCATTTGCTTTTATTAAAAAAAGCAAAACCATTGAAACTAATAAAATTTAATAATAATAATAAAAAGAAACAAATAAAAAAAGCAAAACCAAACTCTACATAATAACCTTAATTCATTTTTCATTAATTTAAGTACATTTCCTTTCTGGTACCTTGACGAAAAGAAAGAAGAAAAAGAATCTCCTAAATGCCTTTCAAATTTATAAATCTAAATGAGAAAAATGACAGTTTAGATTTAAATTAATATCTCATTTAATTACAGTACCGAACATAGCTGCTTAAATTATCAAGTTCTTCCAGCTAATTTTCCACAATTTATTAATAGGCCATAAAATTGCATCTAATGATTGAGACGGAGCCAGTTAGAGAAGTGACTGGCTGTATTTCCCTAGCAACCAATTCACTGAACAATGACTAAAAACAACCACAGACTGAGATCTCAAAATTGCAGACAGCCATGGTGAAAGATTTAATACTATTCTCAAAATATAAAACTTTGCATAATAACTTTAATTCATTATTTATTAAGTTAAACTTAGTTCCTTTCCTGGTGCCTTGATAAGAAAGAAAATGAGGTATAGGACAGGTGAGGTGAGTCCAAAAGCAAAAAGAAGGGGACAGGGCTGACTCAGAAGCCTGGAGATGTTATGTGCTAATATTGAGAGCACTTCTCATCACAGCTATTTTGGAAGAGGGGCTGCCGTTCCATTCTAAACATGAAACATCAAAAAGGAGCTAATCTGAGAAAGTTCCAGCCTGATTTTTTTTCTTAAAGTGACGTGAATCAGCCATGAGAGTTAAAAAGTCATACAGCTGAGACCACTGGGCTACAAGAGTGCAGCTGAGTATCACTGAGGCCTGTGATGGGTGCGTGGAGGACAAGGAGGAAGTACAGGGCATTACAGCGAGAATATTACACAGTAACAGGGGAAAAGGATATAGCTCATAGCAGGACACTAGGGAGCATGTTTTTAAAAGGGGCACCAATGAAGAAAAGACTGGGCCCATACTGTCACCACAAGAAAGTCAGTTATAGTAACATGAACAAAGCACTAGCTCTAACCCTACACAACATTCTTCCCTGAAATGGAAAAATCACTTACAAACTTCACATGAACATAGAAATCAAATAACAAAGCAGTACTGAAAAAGAATCATACTGTTTAGCAACTAAAATCAAAATGCCCTGGTCTATGTGCTCAAAAGACACACAGACTAGTGCAATAGAATAGGGAAACAAGAATTAAACTCAGCCATCTACAGACAACTGATTTTTGACAAGGGGTCAAAGACCATTCAGATGGGCAGAAACAACCTTTGGATTAGAACTGACAACCTATGTTTAACAGCCTGATACACTATACCCTATGCCACCATTGCTCCTTAGAAGTATCAATCTTAAACAAACAAACAAATCCAACAGAAAACTACAACAAAATAACTACCCAAAAAGATTTTACTGCCATTGAGCTGAAACTGACTGATAGTTAACCCTCCAGGCTTTAAATCACACAGAAGGCTGCCTACTTTTATCCTATTGAACACTGATGAATATGAACCATCAGAAAAGGTGCAGCCTTTGGGTTAACAGTGCAACTCCCTACAGACCAGGCCAGCAGAGCTCCCTACTGGAGAAGTAACTATAGGTACACATCAATACAAATATATTACTTAATAGTATGAAGAGGGTTTAAACCAGGCTGCTCCTTGGAGGCAAGGATTCTGGGGCTTCATCTGACATACTTTGGACATGTTGGATGTAAGGAGGGACAGGTCCTTGGAGAGGGACATCATGCTTGGGAGGGTGGAGGGACGGCACAAGAGGGGAAGAACCTCTATGAGATGGATTGATTCAATGACTGGGGTAATTGGGATGGGTGTGTCAGAGGCAGTGCAATTGGCACAGGATAAAGCAGGGTTTAGGGCTGTTGTTCATAGGGTCACTATTAGTTGCAAGCGACTCGACGACATATAACAACAGTATGAAGAGGAACAGAAACTCTTGCTGTAGATCAAGGACTACAGCCTTCAACGTGGAGTACACCTAAACATCAAAAAGACTGAGTCAATAGGCAACATCATGAAAGATGGAGAAAGGACTGAAGTTGTCAATGATTTAATTTTGCCTGGATCCACAATCAACATCCATGGTAACAGAAGTCAAGAGATCAGGAGACACACTGCATTGGGCCTGTCTACTTTCAGGGATCTCTCTGTGGTACTGAACAGCTATGTCAATCAGAAGACTAAAGTTCGCCTGATTCAGGCCCTGCTCTTTTCAATCACTTACTATGCATCTGAGAGCTGGACAATGAATAAGGATGATAGACGAAGGACTGATGCCTTTGAGTTGTGATGTTGGAGAAGAGTACTTAATAGCTCATGGACTGTCAAAAGACCAAATGAGATATAGCTTGAAAAGGTACAGGCCAGAGTGTTACTTGGAGGCAAAGATGACATAGCTTCATCTCTTAATACTTTGGCATGTTGCTAGGAGACGCTATTTCTTGGAGGTGGGCATCATTCTTGGAAAGGCAGAGCGTCAGTGAAAGATAGGAAGATCCTCAATGAGATGGATAGACTGACTGCAGCAATGAGCTCAAGTATACCAGAGTTGATGAGGACAGGACAGGGTGCTGGACCATGGTTCACTAGGGTGCTATGAGTCATATTTGACTAGACAGTACCTAACACCAATAGTTAGTAGAACCTAACTATAAATAGCAGATATTATATGGAGTGTTTCTTCCCCATACATTTCCAGACCATCCATTTGTTTTTTAGTTTAGAAAATATAAAAAAAATGAAAATATAGTTACTGAAATTTAAAAAACCCACCACAACGCTAAGATTTTCCAATGTGTTCATCACTACAACAAGTCTAGTTACTGATTATTCCTCTGCAGAGAAGGAGACATGGAGGAGATAAAGCTTAATAAAGCGGGAGGCTCATGGTTTAACTGCATTTCACTTTCCTCTAGTGCTACATCACAGCTTCCCTTACAGAGCTGTCTCCAAGTCTCCATTCTCACCCTTGCAAGTGTTGTGTTCGTGATTCTGACTCTGACCTTTGGTCCCCGCAAGTGATTGACATCTGGGATTCTGGGATTAACAAGGATTCTGGGAGTGTAGTCAAGCAGCTGCACCCACGATGACTCACTCAGGGATGTTAAGAAACGTGCACGCTTCTTACAAACTTCTATGACTTTGTTTCCTCTCTTCCTACCTCTCAGTAAATTTGAGCTGCAGAACTTCAGGCTGCATCGGAGCCATGTACTCAGAACAGGTGTTCCGTGGCTCAGTGATGCCTGTGTATCCACCTGGAGGCTGCAGCTACAGAGGAAGTCCACCCCATGGGATGCCACTATTGGTGAGAGGAATAAGAAAGTGCATGGCTGTAAATTATTACTAACTTGGGAGGGACTAGAGAGCACTGTGCTGAGTGAACTAACTCAGTACTACAAGGATAAATAGTGTATAAAACCATTATTGTAGACTGAGTATAAAGATCCAAGGGGTTGGGAGAGGATGGAAGTAGAGGGGTGTGGATGTGCAGGGGGTGGGGGGATTAATCATGGGGCTGTACAATTTGTTGGGTGGGGGATGATGGAAATGGAAAGAATTTGTTCTTGAAAACAGTATATCTGAACTTTGCAAATAAACAAACTAGAAGGAAAGAAAAAAAAAAGTGCAGAGCTAAGCCACTCAGTTTCCCAGAGGGTACCTGAGATTCATCTTGAAGGAGTGGGTGCTCCATGACCTTTGCAGACATTCCCTTTCTTAATATACAAAATAGATTTTTCACTACTGCCATAAGTATGAAACAGCAGATATGAAATAAATGAGTGTCTATGTGGTGTATATGGGTATAAGCACATAATTCAATGAATACACGAATATGGACACTATTGAGGAAAAACTAAACACCATTCAGCATTGATTCAGTGAGATTGAAGAATTAGGGCTATTCATCTACTCTGCACTAATCAAGGACTTCATTATTTGATATTTCACATTTACAAAAACAGTTCAAAAACCCCATCTACCATCCAACTGTTTTCAGCATTACTGAGATATGGGGGGCAATAACAAACAGCAACGTACAAAGCAAGAGAAATACTGGCAACTTGGCTGGTTTGGCAATCATGTAATGATGTCATTTAGCAAGTATGAAAAGATGTGAACTGGCCATTACAAAACCTTGATATGTACACTACTGTTAAGCTTAACCTAAGAGTTAACTAGGTCCCTTAGATTACAGCCCTTAGACATCCTTCAACCTTAGAACTGAACTCACCCCCATGGCAAGCTACAGAAAGGCCTATCAGCTGAAAATGTAACACCAGGAAGGAATGAACTCCTTAGAACTACCAAGTATTCGAGATCAGAGAGCCAGCATTTGCCAAGGGAAGAAGCTCAAAAGCAAGACAGGGGGGAAAAAAAATATATGGAAAGAGTAAACAAAGAGTAGAAGTATTGCAACACTGTGGAGACTGGAACAAATGTCACCAAACAAAATGTGTATGAATTGAATGGGAAACCAAATTGTTCTGAGTTTAAGTAAACTCAAGTTCAAGTCACTATAAATTTTTTTTAAAGGATGTAAGGAATGAGCTTGACTGAGATCATTTCATTTATATCATCTCTTATACACTGAGTTTATAGTAAACTTTCAAATACAGTACTTCATTAGGCCTGTTATTGTTCAGTGCTGTTGAGTCAGGTATGAATCATAGTAACCCCTTCCTATCTTCTGCCATTTTCACAATCTCTGATACACTCAAACCCACTGCTGCAGTCACTGTGTCAATCCACCTGGTTGAAGGTCTTCCTCTCCTTTCCCATTTCTCTACCTTTCCAGGTATGATATCCCTCTCCAAGGAATAACCTCTCCTAGCAACAAGCCCAGAGTAGATGAGACAAAGCTTCATCATCTCTGCCTCGATGGAGCACTCTGATTGCATCTTCTGCGAGACATAACAGTTTGTTCCTTTGCAGTCCATGGGCTTTTCAGCACTCTCCTCCAACACTGTCATTCATAGGCATCAATAATCCTTCTGTCATCCTTATTCATTGTCCAGTGTGAGAAGTGCAGCAAGTGACTGAGAAGACCATGTCTTGAATCAGGCACATCTATAAGGCACATCTTAGTCCTCAAACTGACATCACTGCTCCTCAATAATTTGGAGAGGTCCCTGACTGTAGAAACTCCCAGTACAGTATGTCTTCTGATCTCCTGACTGCTAATTCCAAGGGTGTTGACTGTGGATCCAAGTAAGAGGAAGTTGGTGACAGTGTGTCTTTTCTTCTTTGACTATTGGTTCAGTGGCAAAGACTTTTGTTTTCTTGACATTGAGATACATACTCAGGTTTCACTCTGGAATTTATCAGTCTTTGGTCCTTTACCAAAGATGTCCGGAGTTGGAGCTATTATGAGATACAATCCATTTTTATGGCCAAGGCTATCATAAATTTCACTTAACAATTTTGCCTTTGGAACTAACGATATTGATAAGTGAGAAACTGGTGTAGTCTCACAGCTCAACTCAGTCTGGCATAACACAGTTCATAAAAAAAGGATTTAAAACCTATGAAATAAATAACACTATGGGTCTTAAAATATTAAATGGCCATCTAAGACACACCACTGGTTCTGTCTGACCGGTAAAGTAAGCAAGTAATTCAAAGTGCAAAGAAGAAACATGTCTATAGGAGTCAGTCTCATTTATCCTGAAATCAAAAGAATAGATGGTCTATTGCTACCACAATCTACTCTTCTGACTTATGTCACAACAGTTATATAGATAAAATGAGATAGACAGACAACAATGATTAGATAAAGGGGGAGAAATAGACAGAGAATTAAAATTCTAACTTAAAAAAAATAAAGCCAGATAACTGGAACAGGAGGCAGGGAACAAAGGATTCCTGTGGGACGACTGTCCATGAAGACTCTAACTCTAGAATGAGTCCATCTTCTAAGAGTAACTTTTAATATCCTCTATAAAATACCAAAAGATCAACAGTTTCTCAAACGCAAAAATAAGAAATCAGGGGGCATGAAAGCATGAAAACATATTGGAAGAAGACCAAAAAACACACCTGTAGTCAATACCAACACACTGGAATGACTGAACTAAGGAGGAACACCGAATCATTTTTACAGAAATTATCAACTTTTAGAAAAACCTAACTTTCCATGTAAACTTTCATCAAAATCTTAATGAATCATTAATTTTAAAAAAGGTAGTGAGTTGTTGCCAGTATTTTTTCCCCACCTCAGTAGCACCGGTAAAGTTTAGCAGGGCAGCAAGCAATAAATGTTGGAGAGGAAGAGGAAAGGTGGGAACTCTAATATAGTGTTGGTGGGATTGTAAAATTCTGCAATTTCCTCAAAAAATTGAATACAGGAATTCCATGTGACCCAGCTATTCCACTACTAGGAGTATACCCCATGGAATTGAGAACTGAGACACAAATGGAGATGTGTTGCCCGTATTTTAATAAATAAATAAAATGAATAGAAATATTAACGGTATTATTTCACTAAACCTTTGTTTTAATTACACATATTTAATAGAATATGATGCAAAGTGTGTATCGTACCATGTGCCTTTATCAAAACATTTGAAACTCATACTGTGGTGGATTTGAAATATGTGAATTGTAATTATAAAAACATTATTTACAACTGTGAAGAGACAGGAAGGTTGAGAGAATGGGGGAAAACTCAGTAGAACATTTATAATCAAAGTCCTAAAAACAATCAATGAATAAAAATGAGCAAAAAGTAAAATTTTGAAAAGTGTCTTTAGTAAATCATAAATCTAAAGCAGAAATCAGAAGATTACTTTGAAAAAAATTTCCACATTTAATATCATTCTACTTTTAATCTATAAATTCCCTCTAACTTATCTGACTGAACAAAGATTTTGAGCCATATTTTCCAAACTAAGGTATACAAAGTTATATTAATATTTTTCATTATTTTAATTTTATATCTATTTTGATACATGTCAAGAAAATTTTTTTCTTTTTATTTTAAGATATGAGAAAAGAGGGAAAGAAAATAATAATAGAATGAAATAGCAAAATGATGTAGAATGATAATCTAAAGAAGAATACAGCCAGAGACCTTTCCAAAAAATGTTGTATTTCTTTTCTTTAGAAATTAGTAAATAAATAAGGGGAGCTCTGGTGGCCTAGTGGCAAGGAGCTGCAACTACAATCCTAGAGGTGCACGGTTCAAATCCACCAGATGCTCTGCCGGGGAAGGAGGGACAATCTCCTCCTGTACCGGTCAGATCTGATTTGACGGTACACTCACACAAAAATAATAATAATAATAATAAAAAAAAAGAAATTAGAAATTAGTAAATAAATGAAAACAATAACTAGTCCAAACTAAAATTTCTTTACATGTACTAATTCAGAGATATTAAATCTGAGAAAAGAATATGATTTTAGAAAATTATACATGTCAATGGATCTATCTAAAATTAAATATGAGTTATGATTATGTCTTCTTTCTAAATATGCTCATGGAGCATATACAAACAAAATTATATTCTAGATTACAATTATTTCTGGAGACTTCTGCACGATTTCTTTGGAATAACATTTCTTTAGTACAATCTTACAACATGAAAACAGTGTATCTACAGAAATTGCTTTAGCACTGTCACAGGACCCTCTTCACTTTCAACAATGATTGTTGAAATAATGATTTCCATTGAACAAAGGCTCTTACCAGGAAACTTTAAGAGATGTGCCAGGGAGTGGGCAGGTTTTATTATCTTGATTCAAAATGCTGGGGGATACATCAAGACCAGCATTTACAGTGATAACTGGCCTGGCCCTGGTGAAAAGAAGAAAAGAGATTTTAAAACAAATGTTATAGTATTCCAAGTATTTTAGGCTCATAATAATATGAGATATATCTCTATCTCTATCATCTATCTATCAATACAGTGCAATGTTATACATACACAACCAGAAGGCAAGGCAGGTTCAGTTTTATAGTATATACAGTGCAACATCATGTTTACACATACATATCTATGCACATATATACACCTCAGTTTATATACACCTCAGTTATATATTTATACACACACAGTCCTCCCCCAGTGAGCTTGATGGTTTACCAAGACTGTCCTACTTTTAGCTCAAAAAGCCCTGTGTCCAGAAGAACTCCTAGGTAAAATGGGACAGTTGGTCATCCTAACTAAATTCAGTCTACGAAAGCAGGTTTGTTAGAAAAATTGTGAGATAGCATCCAATTCCAATTGATACTATGGGAAAAATGAATACTGTAAACATATCTATGTTGATAAAGCAATGATCACTAAGATATCCAAGATAGAATTCTGGTAGTAGATGAGAAGAAAGCATTGATAGAAAGGACCACACACACGGACACATGTATGGCTTTTAATGCATAGAATATTTCTGGCGTAATACAAATAAACTAAGGAGCCCTGGTGGCAGACTGCATTGAGTGCTTGACTGATACATTGAAGGTTAGCAGTTTGAGTTTCTTAGCTGCTCCACAGGAGAAAGATGGCCAGACTCCTCCTGCGAATATATGCAATCTCTGAAACCCGATGGGAGGTTGCTATGAGTTGTATTCTAATAGTAGGTTTGATTGTTTTTTTTAAAAAAACAGATACAAATAAACTATTAACTGTGGGAGAAGTTATTCCACTCTGTGGAAGAAAATGAGTTTTTAAAAAATCGCGAAGTTGCTTCTGTATTCTTTGAATTTTTACCACATATATATGTATTATTTAATCCATAATCATTTAAAAAACAACAACAAAGAAAACAAAAACCAGTTTGCAAAAATTCAGATGCACAGGTTTAATTAAGTCTGTACAAAACTCCGGCATGTTCACGTCAGTGACTTTCTTTTGAAAACCATCAATCTCTGGGGTTTGTAAGTGACTGCTGTCCCAGAGAAAAATTTACATTTTCCTGCCACATACAAAAATGGCCCATAAAAATGAAAACACCTTAATCTACTTGAAAGGCCAGAAAATCTACTTGGGAGGCCAGAAGATATTCTAAGGCATTGATGGAATATAGAGAATAATCAGAAACTTAAGTAAGAAAACAGACATAGACAAACTTCATCATTTCTCTCTTTTAAGAATATTCCTTTTCTGATTTATTATATACTGTCCTTATGATCGCAGAACACTGTGTCAAAGAACCTAGTTAATTGCTTGTCTTTTGCAAAAAAATAGACTCAAATAATTTTTATAAAGAACTTAAATCATAAGCTATTGTGAAACATAATTTAATGAATAAAGAGGAGAAATACTGAATGCTTTTCTAAATAAAAGTATCTATAGCTGTCTCTTCCTTGACTCTCCTTTGTATAAATACTATTTACCTACAGCAAATCTTGAATAAGGAACACTGGTGGTACAATGGTTAAGTGCTCAGCTGCTCACCAAAAGATTAGTGGTTCAAATCCACAAAGCAGCTCCACAGCAAAAAGATTTGGCTATCTGCTCCTGTAAAGATGAATCTTGAAAATCCCATGGTGTAAATCTACTCAGCCCCACAAGGTCTGAGGTGAAAACAGACTCAATAGCAACTGCCAAACAACAAATCTTTAATTTAAAGAACGAAAAATGTTTATTAATATTTTACGAGCATAAAATTGAAATTCAAACACTGGTACTTTCCTCTGTAACTTTCAAATAATTCTCAATACCCTTATTTTAGAGGATATGGAAATGCTCACCTATATAAGACAGCTCGGTCCACACCGAAAGCTCCTACAAGTAAATCTTAAGAGACAGTACAGAAACTTGTTAATAATAATAATTGCTACTAAATTCATACAGCACACTATAAAACCTCCAATTCCTAACAAATATTTAGACATGCTCTTATAACTGTTCTTCATTAAGCAGTTGTATGAGAACATCTAAAAGGGTAAAATTATGAAAATAATACACAAGTTATCATCAATGACAAATTTTCATCACACAACAAAGCTTTATACAACAGATAAAAGTATTTAACAAAAATGTTTAACAAAGATAAGCAACAATAAAGAAACACCCTCCTCCAAACATGCACAGTCCCCCCCAAAAAAACCTTTCATAGTTATCTATGAATTTTACAGTTTCAAAACATAAAACCAGAGAAACACAACACAAAGACAGCATTTTAATCAGCAAGAACAGACCTAGTAGTTCAACTGGTTCAACATTTGGGGGGATTTGGGGGCGGGGAGGAAGGTAAGAGCTTTATATCTCACATGATACCCAAATTAAAATGGAGATAGCCTTTTCTGAACACAAAAGCTCCTAAGAATCCATTGACAGACAGATTTGGTTACATAAAAATTAAAGACTTTTTTACACCCCTACCTTTGTGTGTGGACTTTCAATCAAACAATACACAGGCATACTAGGTGAACAGTAACTCCTGAGAAATACACATTCTCTGGAACAACCAATTACATGAGACCAATAGACAGCTCAGAAGACAGAAGGAGGAAACAGAAATGGTGAACACAGGAAAGAAATGTGGAAAGAGCACTGTTACACTGTTATGAATGCAATTAATACCACAAATGAAAATGCATGTGAATTGTTGAATGGAAAACCAATTTGCTCTGTAAACTCACTCTAATCACAAGAAAAAGTAATCTTTTTGGTCAAAGCATAAAAACGTGACATACTGCGAAACCTATATGAGAGTTGTTGTTGATTGCCATCGAGTCGAAAACGACTCACAGTGACTCTATGAATAAAAGACCTAAAGCCTTTCTATAACTAGTGTCATTTCTTCAAGTTCATAGAGTTTCCAGAGTCATGTGGGTTAGGAAGTGGATGGCACTCCTGCTTCCAAACCTGTCTTAAACTGGGAGCTCCCCAAAACACTGTCCATCATGGGCAGCCATATGGCATCTGACCACCCCCCCTGACAGTGGCACAGCAAACCCAGGTTACTTCTAGAGTTATTATTATTAATGTACAAAAGTACAACAGTGCCCTAGAGAAAGGAAGAGGGGGAAAAGCAGTGAAAGAAAAACTAAATTACTACCTAACTTGGGAGGGACTGGAGAACATTATGCTAAGTGAACTAACTCAGTCACATAAGGACAAATACTGTATAAGACCATTATCGTAGAACGAATATGAGGATCCAAGGCAGAGGGAGAGTGACAGCAGAAGGGTGAGTTTCTGGAGGCAAGTTTATGGATGTAGATGCCACTTCTCCTTCCAAGCTTGTTTAAATCAGGGTGCTCCACCAAACACTATCTGCCATGGGTAACCATTAACACATCTGACATATCAGTGTCACAGTGTTCAGCTTCACAGCAACCACAAATTAAAAATAAAAGAACTTTGTGACCAAAATAACATAAAAGAAAATATTTTTTTAAAAATGAGAGAAAAACAATATTGATAGAAAAGAATAGTAAAAAAAGGCCAAAAATTGACAAAAATAAAAATATATGCAAATAACAAAAAATGCTTAAACTTACTACTAATAATAAAAAAACCAGTTAAAAGAACATATGCCCCCTATCAAATAGTTAAAAATTCTTTTAAAAGAAGCAAAGATTAAACTCAATGTAGGAACAAACATCAACAATCATTCTCACTTATGGTTAAACAATCAAACTTACTTATTAAGATGGCAAAACCTTCTTTTGGAAGGAATGGGCTGTAATTTGACATTGTGTATGAATATCCTTTTTAGAAAGAGAGAGAGTCTCAAAGAAAAACTACTTCATCTGACATGAGACTAAAAGAACTGCATAGTACCTGTTTACCATTAGTGAAAATTTTGATCAAAGATTCCATGGAAGAATTCTGATCAAAGCTGGGAAAATGTAGGACAGAATTTCAAATTCTCACAGGTTCTAGCCTTTCTGAGTGGATCAAGTCCTAAACTACTGCCCTGACAGTATCTTCAGATCCTAAAGTAAAAAAAAAAAAATCCCCTGAAGTCTTCAGCTAGATCAGTTAAAAAAAGAAAGAAAGAAAAAAGTATGACCTCAAGCATTAGACTTTTACTAAAGAATGATGCATATGGGATTAAACTGACAACAAGGCAAAAGATAGGAACTTTATAGGGTACTTGTGTTAATAAGGGAGGGACAACTCAGTAAAGGCAGGTTCGAGAACAGCTGCCCAACTCAGAATATAATCAACATCACTGAATTGTGGGTCAAACTACTTAGACTGTTTTGCTGGGTGTACCCCCCAAAAACAAAGTTATACAAATTAAAGGGGGGGAAATGATATACCTTTCATACAGTAATTCTAGAATTTTATTCAAATAAAATTATCAGAAGTATGTTCTAAAATTATTTATAAAAACATGATTCCAACAAGGCTAAATAAAATATGGTATCCCATAGGATAGAATGGGAAACATAAAAATCATGTTTTAGAATACTAGTTACTAATGTGTGGAAATAGTAACTGATATTTTAAATGAATCAAAACATACTATGAATAGTGCTTCTATTTTATAAAAAAAGAAAGCATGTGTAAGAATGCTTACAGGGAAAACTGAAAATATAAGCTTCACTTTATTTTTGTTTTCTTTGAAACTGTATCATTGAGAAAATCACTTTACTTCACTCTGCTTCAATGTACAAAGCAGTGAAGTGAGGAACTAGCTATAAATTAAGATACTCTAGGATATAATTTTTTATTGTGTTATCGTAAAAAGCTTCCCCTCTCCCTCAGATATTATTGTGGTATTTTTTTTATTATTTGTTTTCATTTTTTTTTATTCTATAATAAGTGTTTACAGTAATAAAAAACAAGCTAAAAAAAACCCTCATTAAAGAACTTCACTAACTTGTAGATTAAAAAAATCAAATTGATGCCCTTCTTCTAGAGACACTTCAACATACCTGTATACAGCACTCACATCAACTAATACTACTTCCAATTATCTCTGAAATGGACATACCTGGATATCCATTTTTGTCTATGTCTGTGGCTCCTTTCATCGAATAGCCAAAGCTTGGTGGCATGCTGCGAGCAGCCCACTGCCCTTCGAGGATCTGAGATGGTACTGAGTTCAAGCCTGTTGATCTTCCATTGAAGATATAAACAATTCCTTTTTTATCTTCACCTCCATATGGGGCAGCAATTGCAATATCTACATAGGGAAACAGAGAAAATGAAGAGCAAGTATAAGGGAGAAGAAGAGATGAAGGGGCATGGAAGACAGAAGGGGAGGAAAAGAAGAGAAAGAGAAAAGAAAGTCAAACCATTATTGTAGAATGAGTATGAGGATTCGGGGTGGGGGGTGGGAGCAGAGGGGTGAGGATGTGCGGGGGAGGGGGAGAATTAATTACAGGCTGTACAATTTGATGAGAGTGGGGGTGAGGGAAATTGAAGAATCTGGTCTGGAAACAATGTATTCAAATTCTGTAAATAAACTAATCTTGTATAGTAAACAGGAATAAAAAATAAAGTCTTAGAATTTATAATCATTTGAAGAAGATCCTACTATTTATGAAATCCATTTATTGTGATAAATAGTAAATTCAAAGATCAGTATGGTACTTTTTATTCAAAAGCAACAATCTAATTTAAGGAGATTTGAGATAAACTGTAGAAATGACATCAACTTGCCACCATCTACTCTAGGTCCGACTTTTCTGGACTAAGTGCCTTGTCTTAAAATGGCATTTGGGGGAAGGTTTCAATGATCGTAAGATTTTTCTGGCTATCAAAGTTCTGGTTAACTTAATTAGGCATGATTTCTGGGTTCTTAGGACCAGAAGTCCTTAGAGATTTACAAGCAATTATTTAATTTTTATCTTGCTGAATACATACTGAAATAATACAAACAAGAGAGCTTAAAATGATTTCACTGATGTATTGGCAATTTATGTCCTCATGGCCTGGAAGCTAGAAGTCTGAAATCAAAGTGGTAGAACGACTACACTCCTTCCTCAGGGTCTAGGGAAAAAGCCTTTCTTACTTGTAGCTTTTGGTAGTGGTTAGCCACACCTGGTGTTTCTTGGCTTGTATATGCATCATCTCAATTACTATATCCTTTCTCAAATGACCTTCTATAGGTCCAGATCGCTGTGTCTATCTCTTCTTACAAGAACACTGATAACTGCATATAGGCTTATCTATTACTGTATAAGGGAGGCTCTGGTGGCCTCTTGGTAAGGAGCTACATTGCCAAGCCAAAGGCATAGGTTTCTAATCCACCAGTTGCTAGTGGAAGAAAGATGGGCAATCAACTCCCTTATGATCAACTGCCTATGAAAGCCCTCTGGAGTGTCAACTCTGAGTAGGATCTGACTTGCACACAATAGCAACATTACCATATGAAGGAGCCCTGGAAGCATACATAGTCCGCTGGTTGCTAACTAAAAAGGCAGTATTAGAAAACACCAGCTGATTTGCAGAAAAAACATGAGGCAGTCTGCTCCCATAAACATTTACATCCTTGGAAATCATTCCCAATGAAGGGTTTCCATGAGTTGGAATCAACTTGATGGCAGTGTTTGGTTTGGCTTATGCTTTGTACTATGAATAAGCTCCAGTGGGGCTGTGGTTAAAACCTCTTGCTACTAAATCAAAAGGAGCTGATACAAAACACACCAGTCATTCTACCAGAAAAAGATGCACAATGTGCTTCCATAAAGATCTACAGTCTTGGAAAACCTGTCTTGGAAAAACTGACTCAATGTCAAAGAGCTGGGCTTGGTTACTAGGTGTTATATGACCTCTCTTTAACTTACATCTTAATTACTTCTACAAAGACTTATTTCCAAAGAGAGCTTATAGAAGGATTAATTGCAGGGAGTAAGAGGAAAAATTGTGATTACTTTGTAGACATTGAAATTAATATTACTAAAAAATATAAATGCATATTAACAGTTAAATGAAAGTTAATTTTCTCTGTAAATCTTCATTCAAATAACAATTTAAAAATTAAATAAAAAGACTAATTGCATTGGGAAAGACAGCTGTTAGGGATCTCTCCAGAATACTGAAGAGCAATGTTGTCAGTCTGGAGACTAAAGTGTACCTGATACAGTCCATCATCTTTGTGATTATGTGCTAAGCATCAGAAAGGTGAACAATGACAGGAGAACTGATTCCTTTGAGCTGTGGTGCTGGAGAAGAGTGCTGAATATATCACGGTCTTCTAAGAGAAAAAAACAGGTTCATCCTCAAGAGGATGAAACCAGACTGCTCCTTGGAGGCAAGGATTCTGAAGCTCTGTCTAACATACTTCAGTCATGTTGCAAGGAGGGACCTGTCTTTAGAAAGGGACATCATGCTTAGGAGTGTAGAGGGACAGCGCAAGAGAGGAAGACCCTTGATGAGATGGACTGACTCAGTGACTAGGATAATGTCAGAGACAATAAGGTTGACTCAGGATAGAGCAGGGTTCAGAGATGTTGAACACAGGGTTGGCTATGAGTTGGCAAGCGTCTTGACAGCACATAACTACAATAACAGTAATAATAAAGTAGTAAATTATGTAAAAGAATTCCGTTTTTGAAAGATAAGTATAACTTCTAAATTGGAACATACATTAAAAATATGATCATAAAAATATTAATTCTCCAACAGAAGATGGCTCTAGTGTTTGAGAGATTACCTTTTCTATACTCTGTCTTCTCTTCATTATAATCCTCTCTTTTAAGGCTGTCACTATATATCTAGTAAAGAAGAACCTATTTCTCAGTGAAATCTAGTTCTTCTTTTCATCAATTTAAGTGTTATTTTCTGAGGCATTTGTTGTTGTTTTCTTTTTTTCACCTCCTTTCTTAAGAAGTACTGTCCAAAACTTCACATAATTACCACAAGGTTACATAAAAGTAAGGAAACTAGCTTGATTGCTTTTCTTCTCGTATCCCTTTTAAGGACACCTGTGTTTTTGTGATGGTATAATATAGGGCAACAGAGAGTTAGAATTCAGATATGAACAAGAACACATATTATAACCAAGAGCTCATCGTCTAACACTGAGTAAGTTGTAAAGCTAATAATGTTAAAGGGAGCATTTTTAGGACATACCATAAAACTACCTTCAGAGCAAGAACAAAGTCTGGAGGCCAGATAGATTCCTTTCCATTACTTAAGAAATTTAAAGATCATCTCTACTTTTGAAGTTTTTTTCTTTATAAATAATTCAATATTTTAAGGGGTATATACCTATGTATTGTCGATTAAACAAATAAACCATATAAAACTCTTCTCTGTGGTCTCTAGGAAAAGTTGTTAATAGTATTCTTTTGAAAGAAAAAGAAAAACCGATTGGCAATTTATACTCCGTATGTCATATTCTATAATAAAAGTTTATTTTGTCTATAAATTATTGAAATGGAACAAGTATGACTCAATATCACATGGCCCACATAAAGAGGAGTCCCACATGAATTCCTTCAGAATAATTTAAGCAACCAGAGCTCTGGTCACTTAGTGGGAAAGGCAAGTGGTTCAAATCCATGGCAGAAAGACAGGCACTCTCTTCCTGCGTGAGTTACTGTCCCTGACACCTAGCTAGAGTGTCAGCTATGAGTTGGTTCCAACTCACAGTATGTAACAATAAATTAAGAGCAAAGTCAATGCTTGAAAAGTATCAATCATAAATCAGTCCACAGTCTGAGGTATTCATGAAAGGTGCAGTAGAGTCAGCAATGCCTGCACAATGAGGTGGGATGAATTTTTTTTTTTTATAATGTAGTTAGTTAGACAGTAGAGGGCACTGTCGCTAAGCAGGACAGAGAAACTTAGAAAAGCACTAGCTAGCACTTTGTCTACTAGGCAAGCAGATTCCTCTCAGAAATCGACCATTCTCACACTCTAATCTGAAAGCATACGGACAGTAATTCATGTGGTCTAGTTTAGAATACTCTGCTGTCATTTATAACAAAAAAGGGACATGTCTTTTAATAAATGGGCTTCTCAATCTTCTTTCCAAGAAGGTTGTTATTGGTATGCGCCGTCGAGTCGCTTACGACTCATAGCGACCCTATGTACAACAGCCCTAAACTCTGCTTTGCCCTGTGCCAATCACACTGTCTCTGAAACACCCATCCCAATTACCCCAGTCACTGAATCAATCCACCTCATAGAGGGCCTTCCCCTCCTGCGCCATCCCTCCACCCTCCCAAGCACGATGTCCCTCTCCAAGGACCGGTTCCTCCTTACAACAGGTCCAAAATATGTCAGACGAAACCCCAGAATCCTTGCCTCCAAGGAGCAGCCTGATTTAACCCACTCCAGGATGAATCTGTTTGTTTTCCTAGCAGTCCATGGTACCCTCAATACTCTTCTCCAGCACCACAGCTCAAAGGCATCAATTCTCCTTCTATCCTCCTTAGTCACTGTCCAACTCTCTGATGCATAACAAGTGATAGAAAAGACCATGGCCTGTATCAGACGCACCTTAGTCTCCAGAGAGACAACATTGCTCTTCAGTACTTTGGAGAGGTCCCTAACAGCAGACTTTCCATGGCAATACGCCTTTTAATTTCCTGACTACTGGTGCCAAAAGTGTTGACTGTGGAGCCAAGCAAACTAAAGCTATGAACAATCTCAATCTCTTCACCATCCATCCTGATGCTGCCAATTGGCCCAGTGGTGAGAATCTTTGTCTTCTTGACATTGAGCCTCAATCCATATTGAAGGCTGCAGTCCTTGACCCTCTGCAGCAAGCACTTTAGGTCCTCCTCAGTTTTGGAAAGCAGGGTTGTGCCATCTGCATAATGCAGATTGTTGACAGATCTTCCACCAATCCTAATGCCACATTTCTCCTCATAGAGCCCAGCCTCTCGTATAATCTATTCTGCATACAGGTTGAAAAGGTATGGAGACAGAAGGTGTCCTCTAATAAAAATCTTACAAACAAGATTATAGCACATTTCCAGGTAGGACGAGAAAACCAGGATGCTAAACTGAACTCTGATCTTACCATTGTAACCATCCTGGTCGAGATCTCCCAAAGGTGCTATAGCACTGCCAAATCTTGCAAAGACCTCAAAACCATTTAACTTTGTGGTCTGGAATTCTCCCGAAGGTCTCTGCAGAGACACTGAGACCTGGCCCACCTCCTGGAGTTTGCCATCAGAGCCACGGTCCATGAAGAGAGGTGCTCCAATAAAGACATCTGCATAACTAAAAGAACAGAATATTTCACCAAAACATGAAGAAATCCCTGTCTGGTTATAGTAATCAAAACCCTCCATTTCTTTCTGGCCACAGCCACAGTGAAGTAGTAAAAGGACAGCAGAGCAATTATTATAAATTCAAGTCATCTTTTAATTCTTTTAGAATCTAAGAGTCATTCATAAAATTACTCTGTCATGGAATTATGGTTAACAGAGACGTTTTCTAATAGCCATGATTAAGGTTGCTTCAAAATGGTTTCTTAAACAGAAAAATAAGCAAGAATGGAGCAGGGGAAAAAATGTTTAGTAAAGTGTTCATAAACAGAAGAGAAAACAGTTTCTGAGAACATGGTTGTAAAACTTACTCATCCCCATTAATGTCAACAGCAGCTACAGAAAATCCGAAGTATGCAGCCATCTGGAAAACAAGACCAAAATGAAAAGTCTACATTTAGACAATTCACATTTGTACAATATTGTATCTATCAAATTAAGGTGCTATTTTTCTCCCTGTGCATAGAATACTTAAACCTAAACTTCACCTCTGTCAGTAAATATGTACAAGGATAACTGTATATATAATGACAGGTAATGAGGCCTGCCTGCTTACTTCTCCAGATTTATGGGCAAAACATTTTCTCCTTGCATAGGCATATCTCGGAGAAATTGGACAGTCAGTTCCATATTATCACAATAAAATGAGTACCAAAATACAGCAAGTCACACACAATTTATTTTAAAAAAAGAAGTACATATGAAAGTTTATAGTAAGTTGCTGTTATGTGCTGTCGAGTTGCCTGAGCTTATAGTATATTAAGTTGCAATTAAGCCTTCCAAAAGTGTTTCAAAATATTGTGATAATTATAAAAATGGAACTCCGAGACATAAAGCGAGCAAACGCTGTCAGAAAAAAAATGGTGCCAGCACACTTGCTTGATGTAGGGCTGCCACAAATCTCTGACTTGTTAAAAACAAAGTAAACACAAGTTCTGGAGAACGCAATAAAGTGAAACACAGTAAAAGGAAGTATGTCTGCATAACATTCCAATGTCTCCAGCACAAGCCACTGAAAGTAAAATTAACATTTTTTTCTCAGATCTAATCTATTACCTTCCCTCCCTCTCCATCAACCAACATTCCACACACCAGCAGACACACTCTAGCTCATACAGACAGTTGCAGGAAGACTTTTTAAACGAATTCAAGAAGTTATGTGTATGAATGTCCTTGAAGCAAGGATAATAGATAACAATTATTAATGAACCAAAAGGTGGCTCTATTATGTGGCATCACTAATACCCTAAAGAATTATTGCTTGAAAGCTATCAAAGAAGGTAATTCTTGTCTTGTGCTTTAATCAAACTCTTAATAGGCCATTTAATTTTGGAATTATATAATTGTTTGTGCATGGGTGCAGTAGATTTATTGTTAAAAATGGCTTTCCAGAGCACTGGCTTTGACTTTTAACCTATGGCTGTATCCTCATACATATACTAATGAGGTGAATAGTACCTTTTGGGCGGTGAATGAGGTAAAAAGGACAGTAGTAACATGTAAATAGGTATGGAGACTATGAACAAGGGAATTGATCAGTCTTGCCATGCCACAAGGTTTAAACTGAACAGGATCAGAGGCAGAAAAATGGGAATCTCAATACCAGCAATAAAGAATTGGGAAGTCGGGGGTTTACACATTTGGTTCAGAGATTCTTGCACTATCTGATCAAGACCTAGGTGAGAGTAGCAGAGAACCAAAAAAAAATGGCACGAGACAGAGCTAACCCCACGGAGGGAGCCAGGGACAGAGTCGGGAACCTTCACCCAACCTTCCCGGAAGACTAGAGTGGAGGGAGAAATGCCATACTTGGCAGGATTACAAGAGCTTTGTGGCACTGACCTAATGCTGAGAGGCTGAAAGTCAAAGGGCCTGCAAGCACATCTGAGAAGCTGCCCTCACTGAAGAATTGTAACCTATTCCAACATGAAACTTTAACTTCTCTAATAAACCTCCAAGTCATGAGGAATATTACTGGGGAGTTCTGTAGAACCACCGCAGCCGATCAGCCGATACAGTGGTAGAATTCTGTAGCCATGAGGACAGCTGGTGATCTAAAAGGCAGAAATAGGTGCAAAGAGCACTGGGGCCTGTCTGACATCTGGAGGATCAGTTTGGTACTATAGCTGTTGAGGGGAACCGTTCTCCCTTGAAGAGTCAGTGGAGGTCAGACGTAGCTGTCCCTATGCTGACTGCATTCTTTTAGAGTGTGTAAGTGTGTTCAAGTTTATCATGAGTAGAAAGAAGAGATGTCCTCTCCCCCTGCAGAGTAGACTGTGGCTATGACAGAAAGAGCAGCCTGGCTAGAAGTAAATGTGAAAAGGGAATTCTTACAGAGATTCCAATAAGGAAAATTAAATTGGGAATGATGACAAATTAAAAGTTAAACCAAAGCAAACGAGTCAAAAATCCCCGAGAGGAAAACTAGCAATGCTCCTAAACTTTGATTAGCAGTATATCAAAAGAGAACATCAAGGGAGATCCCTACATTATCTATTTTGGCAGAGCACAGTGTAATTGAGACAATAAAAGGCAAGTTCAGTATCTAATCACAGGAAAAGAGTAGTATAATGAAGTGCACTGTATCTGGAGCAGCAGGTTGATGGAATTTAACAGAAAAATATTCTTGGGTCTTTACAGAGTGTTTGTTCTGACAGTAGTGTTTTATGGGAAAAGTTGTATCCTGGGTGCTATGAGGAACTGTTTTCATTTGATCTCCTAACATTCCCATGAAGAAGTTAATCAATGTGCCTATTTTAATAAATAAGGAAGTAGATGTGCACTGGTAAATATCTTGTCCACTGCAATAACAACTGAAAACAGAGAGCTATGCTTCCCCCACCCAAATGGCTACAGAAGAACAATGGAATGATTGTTTAGCAATTGATCTAGAGATCTGCCCAAGGGCAATAGACAAAAGTCTGTTTGCAGTGAAGAAGTCACCGTGACACAAAGGGATAAACAAGCCATCATTACAACCCTAACCTGCCTGCTCCTTGCAGGACAATCTACAGTGTGCATCAACCTGAGTGAGACAAATTAGCACAAGACCACTGGGGCTGTTAGACTAGTCCTCTATTCTGTCAAAACTCAACTGTCTGCATCATACAATTCATCTTCCTATCTACTGTTCATGGTTTCCTTTATCATCACTAATTCATCACTGAATTCTGAGACCTACAATACAGAACACAATAAAATACCTTTGTTGTGGTTACGTGCTGTCCAGTCAACTATGACTCATGGTGACCCTATGCTATTGCTCTGAACCCTGCTCTATCCTGAGCCAATCTCACTCTCTGACACACCTACCCTCATTATTCTAGTTATTGTGTCAATCCATGTCATCCTGGGTCTTCCTCTCCTGTGCTGTCCCTCCACCCTTCCAAGGGGAATGTTCTTCTCTCAACACTGGTTCCTTCTGGCTACATGTGTATGTATAATATCATCTATTTTGAGATCATTAACCTATTAATTATGCTGCCAAAAAAGTTTTAAGAAATTTGGAGGTGATGATAAAATGTTACATTAAAAAAACCCAACCCCCAAATTAACATACTACTAACCAATTTTTAGACACACATGAAGGAGAAAATATACCAAGATTATCATAGTGATAATCTGTTTGATGGGGTTATAATTAATATTTGTCACTTCATTTTCTATTTCCCAAATTTCTTCCATGAATACATAATGCTTTTATAGAGAAAAATATTATTTTGGAAGCATACCTGCTCACCAGTAAAATTGTGTAAGGAAGACATGTTTTTTCCATCATAAATACAAACCTGTACAGGAAAAACAAAGATATATAAACTACAATAAAATATAAGAAGACCCAGAAATTTTAAGAAACATCTTTTAACTTTCCTACCATTCCCAAAGTTCTTGCTGCTCGTGGAACTCCTGAAACAAAATCTGGAAGAAAAATTAAAAACTTTAATCACTTATTTAAGACCAAGACTGGAATGGCAAGAGAAAGTGAATGTGTAAAATATTTCTATTTTATTTCAGTAGAAAATAAACAAGTGACTTTCAAAAACTGGTAACCTACACTAAGTGATCCCAACATGTTCTAATCTTAAGACTGAAATTTTACAAGAAGACACAGATTATTGAGGACTTTCCAACAAATTCATGCTTGCCTTCCGGGCATTTTAATCCTGTTAAAAAAGCACGCAAGAGATAAACTGACCCAAGAAAGAAGGAAAGCTGTATTTATACCATTGAAAAATAACACAGAGCAAATGGAAAGAGGCAGGAGGGCACACAAAAGGGATAAAGATCTGGGATAAAGTGCTGTCCATCATTCCTAAAGGGAGCTCAGAAGGAAGACTGACACATCGACTGAGGAGGAGCCAATGGCAATAGAGACCACAGAGTTGGAGGTTTCTATTGTTGGAAGGCTACAAATGAAGACCAAAAGAGGAAATGAAGCCTCCTCAAGTAGATTATGTTGAAAGCAAGAAAGAAGAAGTTGAACAAATGACTGCAAGTGCAGGAGTCTGGAAAGATGAGGGAGAACAGGAAGAGACAGAAGTAAATACTATCTCAGACTCAATGATCATTAGAAGAAATTAAATATATCTCAAAATTCTGCCAATATACTGCTTTCCCCCTATTTCTCATGTTATGGTATGAGAAACTATTATTATATACTATAGTACATAAAAATAGTTTTAAAACACACAACTACCAAAATGTAACATGTTTCAAATACTTGATATTTTTTAAAGGGTTTAATCATACCGTCTATGCCATCACCATTGAAATCTCCAACAGCCACTGAGTACCCTAAAGAGGCAAGCAAAGTTAAAACACCATCAGGACAGGATAGTAACCATTACCAAGCATGTTCAAGCAATCCTTTTAATGTTTTAGTTCCTTTAACATTTTGTCCTCTAGGAATAAAAAAACTTCAATGATAAGCAGTTGTGCGGCAATCTCGAAGACACACAGTTTGAATCCACCAACTGCTCTGTAGTAGAAAGACGGGCAGCCTCCTCCCATGTGCTTCACGGCCTCTGAAAACCTGCTGGAAGGTCAGCTATGGGTCTGCTCAAACCCAACGGTAAACAACAACATATGAGAAATAAATCTTAAAGAGCACAGTTAATTCAAATATGCAAATAAAATCTCTAAAAGAAAAACAAGACTACTTCATTAAGTCTACAAAAGAATAAGTTAAAAATAAAGTGAATTTTTTTTAAAAAAAAAAAGCTAAGGACAGGTTTACACACAGATGATATTAATCTTGACAGAATAAAAGAGATAAGAAGGAAGGCAGAGGGAAGTAAAGACTAATAAATAGATAGGACAAGTGACAGGAGAGGCAATGTCCAATAGCGGTTGATGAGAAACTAATTAATTGAATTAATCAATTATAATTAATTATCTAAAACAAAATGTATATGACTGATTGACTAAAAACCAAAGCAAATTTTAGAGTACACAGAAAAAAGAAATAAATAATAATCGATTCATTCAAGCAATAATGCATCATTTCTGCAGTGTGTAAATTGGTTTAATAAATAAAAGAGAATCTTTTTAAAAAGCTAAACAAACTGGGAGCTCTGATGGCTTAGTGGTAAGAAAGTGCGCTGCCAAGCCTAAGGCACATGGTTTGAATCAACAAGCCCTCTGTGGTTGAAAGACCTGCCATCTCCTCCCGTGTGATTTACTGCTTCTGAAAGCCTGTTAAAGGGTCAGCTATGAGGTGGTTCTAACTCGATGGTACTTAACAACACAAACCCAAACATAATAAATTCTAAAGATCAAAACTGTTCAAAGTAATGGGTATAGATAATAATGTTCCTGGGTTCGCATCTCTGAAAAGCAAGTTCTAAGTCTTGGGCAAGCTAATTTGTTCAAGTGCTGTGTTTCAGTTTTCTCATCTACAAAACAGGATCAAGAGCGTACTTTCTTTCATAGATCTTCTGTGAAGTTTTAATGAGTTAGTACATATAAAACCCTAGAATGCCCAGAACACAGGAATTATGTCCTCAGTGTTAACTGTTATTACTGTAAAATAAACAATAATTTTCATAAAATTACTCAAATATAACATAACCTAAGGAAAATCATTTACCATATGTTCATTATGCATTTTTAAATCCTAATATATTATCCATGAAAGATTTTCCTACTTAAATTAGCACACACAAATAAAAGAAATAAATGCCACAACTTTTCCAAAAAGTGCATTTTGGTTTTACTTACCCAAATAACTATCATCAAAAATAGCTTGTGCAGTCCGAGTTGCTAATTGGTTGTTATACTTGACACTATATACTTTGGGGTCATATTTAGAAACAATTTCTGCCACTTGATCTGAAATGAGCTGACCTAAAAAAATGAGTAGAGGGGAAGAAACAAAAATATATATGCTAAACTTCAATTAAAAATTTCATTATACTGATAAATAACATCTGTAACTAATTCTAACCTTTTCATTTTCAGTACTAAAGCAATAATTTTCTTGTCTTTCTTTTTATAAAGTATTTAAGTGAGTCTCTGCCAATAAAGAATTATTTAAGAATGACAAGATTTGTTTCATTCACTAAAATCAGTGTCATATAAATGGAGCAGCAAAATTAAGGTCAATTTCCCAAGGAAATCTGTTAAAACATGATAAAATTGCTAACCTAATTAAGTAATTTTATTTTTATGGGCAGAATAATTGATTCAATTGATTTTGTTAAGCTAGTTTATGAAGCACTCTGTACAGGCTAAATCATCACCTTTCTTCACAACCTAAGTTATTAGGTAGATATGAAATGTAGATAATTACACAAAAATCAAACTGATTTCTCTCCATTCCTACAAAAAAAGGTTGCTTGACTTATCAAATGTCATGTTCACAAGATTGTAAAAACAATCTATTTTTTGCTGTTTTAGAAGAACTCATAATAGTTTGTCATCCTATTCCAATTTCTCCAGTCCCATAGGGTAGGTGTAGAGGCAGAAACACTTTCTGAGTAGTTTTACTGCTTTATTGTCTGTGCCTAAACAATGTCTAATACTTAGCATTAGGAAGTAGTTTTTAAATCAAAGAATACAGGAAAATTCATTATCTCTTTATGATAGAAAAACAGCTATCAATATCTCCATTCTTCCAATGACATTTCCAAGCTGTATGGAAAAATTCATTCTAGCATACTTATCTAGGTTGAAACCTCCGCATTTAAACTTGCTCACAGCTGTATTTCCTAGTTAACCAGCAGTGCTGAGAAGCCTTGCACTATCAGTTTGGTTCCCTACCATGCACCCAAGTCACTTCCCTCTCCTCCACATAATGGCATACCCAAGAGTTAAGAAGAAAAGCAAAAGTCATATTTTATAGGAAGTATTCATATCTTCTCTTTTCTCATATGTATTTTGATTTTGGGTTTTATTTTCATTTTAATACAATAAACTTTAAGACTAATTTTGCCTAAAATATTTAATTTTTCCAACAGATGTATAACTTGTAGACTCAAAATTTTGAGTTCATTTCACATACAGATCTCTGGCTTTGCTTGATATTTCCCTTTTCTTGTGTTGTCCTTTTCTTTCAATTTTCATCCCCCTTCTATCTCAGTCATATCTAAGTAAATTTTCTACAGCAAGTCTTTTGATGGAGTTTCTTTTTCTAAAATGCAAAGGCAAGCAAAGCTTTTCCTACAGAGATGTAAGGGAAGGATGGTGTGCAGAAATAAAATTCAAAATCCGAAAGCATCATTAATATTGT